TGGGCTGCAGCCTCTGGTGCATTGTTTGAGCACGCGCGTGCACGCACAAGCACAGCTGCAGCCCCCAGCGTGCACACACATGCACACGCATGCACATGTATGCACACTCATGCACATGCAGTCCTGCAGGGAATGCAGCAGCTGGTGCACGTGTGCAAGTGTGCATGCATGCACCAACATGCCTGTGTGCACATGTAAACATGTGTTAATGTGCACGCCTGCAGGGAAGGACTGCAAACGTGCAAGTACATACACGCACACACAAACACTGGCAAGTGCTGCAGCCCCCAGCGTGCACACACACCGTGCGCACACACACAGCATGCACACACATGCTCATGCATGCACACGGTTGCTCACAGATGCACGGACACCCTGCATGGAGGGACTGCAGCCCCTTGCGTGCACACACACATGCATGAATATGCATGCACACACGCTCCCCGTGCACATGTGCAGTGCACGCCTTTGCACACACGTCAGACACCCCTGAAAGGAAGGGACTGCAGCACCCTGCATGCACATGCATGCACACACATGTGCACACATGCACCTGCATGCACACACACTCTCCGTGCACGTGTGCACGCCCTTGCTCACGCTTGCACAGACAGCCCTGCAGGGAGGGACTGCAGCACCCTGCATGCACGTGCATGCACACACTGCGTGCACACGTGTACCTGCATGCACACGCATGCACGCACACCCCTGCAGGGAGGCACTGCAGCCCCCTGCATGCACACACGCGTGCACACGTGTACCTGCATGCACACGCATGCACGCACACCCCTGCAGGGAGGCACTGCAGCCCCCTGCATGCACACACGTGTGCACACATGTACCTGCATGCACACACATGTGTGCACACCCTTGCTCACACACCCACCCACCCCTGCAGGGAGCCAGTGCAGCCCCCCGCATGCACCCCCTGCACACATCCCCCCCCCCTTGCAGGCACTGCAGCCCCAGCACGCACACGTGCCTGCACCCCCCCGCGCACACTCTCAACCCCCCCACCCTCTGCACAACCCCCCCCCCCTTTGGGGACACAAACACACACACACACACCGTGTGCCTCTGCAGCGCTGCTTTTAATCAGGGGGTGCAAGGAGCAAACCTGCAGCACGAGGGGGGGCTGCGGACCCCCCCCGGAGACCCCCAACCCCCCCAACCCCCCCAGGACACCCCACTGCAGCTCTGCAGCTCTCCTTGCATGGCTCTCCACGCCACGGCGTGCAGCAGCAGGCCACGGCTACCCGGTGTGGGGTGCGTGTGCGCGTACCGGGGGGGGGGGGGGAATAAAATCAAATAAAATAAAATAAAAAAGGGGGGGGGTTCCCTGCGGCTCCTGCAGGCCCACGTGCCGGCGGGCGCCCGCCCGCACATGGCTCTGCAGCAGGGCTGCTGCTTTCGCAGGGCGGTTGTGGCGGCTAAAAATGGAGCAGGGCTCACATGCGCCCGCCACGTGATGCTGCCAGCGGCCCCGCGCGCATGCAGCAAACACGGCGCAGGAGGGAGGAAGATGAGGAGGAGGAGGAGGAGGAGGTGGTGGTGGGGGGGGGGGGGAGAGGCGCTCACATGGGCTGGCACAGACGCCGAGCCCCCGCAATGTGTGTGCTGTGGTGTGTCCCCCCCCCAAAAAAAATAATAATAATGAAGGTCGCTGCTGCCCCGCACTGCTGGTGCCCCAAATGTGAGGCCGTGGGGTTGTGGGGTTGGGGTGGGGGGGGTTGCCCCCCCCCTCATGCATAGAGTGCCCCGCTGACACACTGAAGGAGCCCCCACGCCCCCTGCCCTCCCTGGTTTTGGGGGTGGGGGGGGGGCTTGGGTGGGGGGGCACCCCTGCGCACCCCGGCTGCTCCCCGTGTCCCCCCCCAAATCCCTGTGCCCCTTCTGCACCCCCCTCCCCCTCCTGGCATCACCCTGAGCTCTGGGGCTGTGCATTCCCCTGGGGGCCCTGCACCCCCAAAATCCTGCACCCCCCTGGGCGTCCCGTGCACCCCCAAATCCTGCAGCCCTGCCCAAACCTCAGGGGGATCCTGCGCCCCCAAACCTGCACCCCCCTGAGGTCCCTGCACCCCCAAATCCCCAGCCCTACATGACCTTGGGGGTCCCTGCACCCCCAAATCCTGCAGCCCTACATCCTTGGGGGTCCCTGCACCCCCAGACCCCGCAGTCCCCCGGGCATTTTACGCCCTCCCCAGAGGTCCCCCCTAACCCCTGCTCCCCCTGACCGTGGGCACCCCACACCCCCATCCCTGCCCCATGGGGGGGGTCCCTGCCCCGTCCCGTTTTTGGGGGGGGGGTGGGGGTGCTGGGTGCGGGGCCGGGCGCCCCAGCCCCGTTGTTTACCTGACTCTTTTCCCTTTCCGCAGGGAGGGGAAAGGCGAGTCCTGGCAGCACGGAGCCGCCACCGGCCAAGAGCTGCAGGGGGGGGGGGGGGGGGGGGCCAAGGGGGGCCGCAGTTCCCTGCTCGCAGCCAGAAATCTGCTCTGGGCAGGCAGAAACCCCCCCGGGGCCCGCGAGCGGCTGTACCGCCCCCACGAGCCCCGTCCGTGGGTGCTCATCACACGCCAGCCACCCGGGGTCCCCGTGGGGCGTCCCGTGTGCGTGGGGGGGCCGGGGCACGGCTGACCCCGGGGTGACGGTGACACCGGGCACGGCCGTGGGGCCCTGGTGGGGAGCAGGGGTCCGGCCTCATCCTGCCACGCACGGTGTGGCTGCTGAGCGGATCCCGCTGCCTGATGTTGGTGGGATGGAGAAACTGAGGCACGGCTGGACGGGGCCATGCAGGGCCAGCAGGATCAGGAGCCAAAGCCTCTGCCTCGTCCCGGCTGCGCACCCGAGTGCCAGGGGCAGGAGCGGGCGGCATGGGCTCATCTCGAGGCTCCCGGAGCCCCGTGGGTTTTGGGGTGGCCGTGCTGGCAGGGATTGAGGTCATGGCTCAGCCGGGCAGGTCCCCGTGCCACAATCCAGGACCTCTCAGAGGTGCGAGGACACCAGGAGCCGTGTCACCGTCCCCAGGGCCACCTCGGTGGGTGCTGCTGAACCCCACGGGGTGCCCAGATCCCGGTGCCAGGGTGCGGAGCCCGGCTCAGCCCCCCCGCCCCAACCCATCCCACGGCCCTGCCCTGACCCCCACCTGGGGGTCCCCCGCGCGCGGCTCCCCCGTGCCATGGGGCGGGCGCCCTGATGTCAGGCCCATGGCATCCCCCCGCGCTCGGGCTGCCCAGCTGCTGCGCATGCCTGGGATTCCTGCGGCCTCCAGTCACGGCAGCGGGGCCGCTGAGCACCCGCAGCACCGGGCACCGCGCGCCGGCGGGGCCGGGAGGTGGCACCGGGCACCAGGGCGCACGCATGGCACAGGGTGCACCCGTGCACGTGAACGGCGGCGTGTGCAGGGTGCAGGGTGCCGTGCCGGGTGCCCTGCGCCTGGCCCCGTGGCCACGGCACGGTCCTGCCACCGGCACCGCCGGGCTTCTCCCGGTGTCACCGTGCCGGTGCCCGCTGCCACCCGGTGCCGCGTGTGGGTGCCCAGCCGGTGGCGAGCCGCTGGGGCTGCCCGTGGCGCCCTGCCCCCCCCATCCCCGGTGCTAATCACGCTAATTGGCACCCCGGCTAAAGCGCTTAGGCCCTCACCTCCCTGACCCAGATAGCAGCTGGCCAGGGGGAGGGGGCACCCGGGACCCCCGGGGCCCATCTGTGCCGGGGACAGGGACACCGACGGCGGCCCCCAGGGCGGCTGCACAGTGGGCTGGAGGCAACCGGTGCCCGCTGGGCATCCCAGTGCCGGGCTGGGGGGGGTCCTGGGCTGCCCCCATCCCATGGGATCGGGGTGCTCGGTGCCCCCCGTGCGCTGCAGCCGGCTCCTGCCGCTGGCCCAGCCCCGGACTTTGTCCCCGGGTTGTTTTCCATCGCGTGCGCAACCGCCCGACTCAGCAAAAACACTGCCCTGGGCGTGGGGCTGGGCTGGGGGGGGGCACGGGTGGGGGTTCCCCCCACTCCCCTCACTCCCTCCCCATGGGTGCTGCGCCCCTGCTCTGCCTCCAGCCCCCTCCCGCCCAGCCCAGCGGGGTGGGGACCCGCGGTCACGGTGCCACCAGTGCCCAAGGTGGTGCGGGGGGGGGGGTGTTGAGGGGGGGCTGAGACCCGGCCACGCTCATTGCACGTGTCCCACAGCGCAGGAGGGCCGCCTCCCGCCCATCCCTCTGTCTGTCTGTCTGTCTGTCTGCGATTCCTCGAGCTGAGGGTTCCTGGAGCAGCTCCACGCCCTCGGCCCCGAGCCCTGGGGGTGCCACCGGGCCCCATTTTGGGGGTGTCTTGCGGGGGGGGTGCAGGCAAGCCCCAAATTAGCAGCGTTGAGCCCCTCGGTTTGACGCCCAAAGGGGGAAACTGAGGCAGCGGGGGGCTTTTGGAGCTGGGGGGGGGGGAAATGGGGCAGCCACGGTGCAGCCTCCCCGTGCGCGCACCCAGCGGGTCGGGGCTCTGCAGGCGCTGAAGGGGGGGGGTCCCGGGGCAGGGGAGGGGGGGGGGGGCCGTGCCCAGCGGGGCCGCGCAGCGCTGGCGCCCGGCCAGTGCCTATACTTGGAAGTCTCGGCGCAGGCGTTCCCATATGGAACAAACATTTGCTGCAGCCCCCGGCCGCGCGCCCGCTCTATAGGTACCGCCCGCGGCCGGCCCCAAAGCCTGGCCTGGAGCAGCAGCCAGGAGCCCCCCCCCCCCCCAAAAAAAAAATAAAATAAAAAAAAAAAAAATCAGGGTGCCCCCGCTCTGTGTGAGGGTTTCGGGGGGTGCGGGGGGGCCCCACGGTGCCTCGTTGTCCCCGCGGTGCCGTTGGCTCCCCCGCTGCACCCCGTGTGCCGCGTGCCAGCACCCATGGGCGCAGCATCCCGCACCCCCCGTGGTGGCGGTGGTGGTGGCGTGGCCGGGCTTCCCCGGCTGGAGGGGGGCCAGGGGGGTGAAAGGGGGGGGAAATTGGGGAGGGTTGGGGGGGGGAGGGAGCAGTATAGGAGCCCCGGCTGCGCCACCGCCGCTGCGCTTGAAATCCGCCGGAGGAATTTCTGCCGCGGCCAAGACAAACGTGACCTACTTTCTGCCTGTCCCCGCACGGAGCCGAGCAGCCCCAGGGCCGGGCACGGCGCCCACCCGGCGCGGGTTGGGGGCCCCGGCACCGCCACCAACCCCCCCCCCCCTTTGCTTGTGTGGGGAGGGGGCTGGAGGGGATTGGGGGTGCACCGGGGGGAGCTGAGCGTGGGGCTCCCCGGTGCCGGGTGGGTGCGATGGGTGCTGGGTGCCCCTGGGGGGTGTGGGGGTGTTGGGGGTGGGGGGGGTGTACGCCTCTGCTTCCCTATCGTGCTGCGGGTACATTTTGGGGAGGGGGGGGTCACACGGATGTGGGGGTGCCCCCCCCCCTGCCCCACCGGTGCCGTCTCTTTGCAGCAGGAGCGCTCGCGGAGGAGGCATCGCCCGGCACCGCCCCGGCGCCCCCCGGCTGCCCCCCACCCCCGTGAGTGCACCCCCCCCACCCCAACCCCAACCCGCTCAGCACCCAGCGGGGGGGCCCAGCACCCCCTCACCGCTCGGGCAGGGGGGGGCTCAGCACCCCCCCCTGCGGCCCTGCCCCACGGCTGTGTGCAGCACCTGCACCCCCACGCACGCTCCCTCTCCGTCCTGCGCCCTTGCCCCTCGGTGCACGCCCCGCGTGCTTTGCACGGCCCTGCACGCTCATGCACGCCCCTGCACACCCAACGTGCTCTTGCACGCCCCCCCCCCCAGCCCTGCACATCCCCCCCCACGTGCTCCTGCACGGCACCCTGCAAGCCCTCGCTCGCTCCACGTGTTCTTGCACGCCCCTTGCGCTCCCACCCGGCCCCGCACGCCCTTGCACACCCCTGGGCGCTCTCCAGCAGCCTTGCACGCTCTTGCACGCTCCCCCCCCCACGTGCTCCTTGGGGGGGGTGGGGGGTTGCACGTGCCCCCCCACCCCACCCCACATCCCTCGTGGGTTCAGTGGGCGCCGTGGGTTTGTCTCAGCAGGGTCCCCCCCCTATCCCCGGGATGCTGCGCGGCGCTGAGCACTGAGGCGGGCGCCATGGGGCGCGCGTCGTAGCCCCCCGCCGTGGCCCCCCCTGCGCGTGGCACCGGTGGCGGAGCCCACTCGGTCGGTGCTGGGCGCTCCTTGATGGAATTGCGGTGAATGGAACAGAAGCCCAGCACCCTGGACCCGCTGTCGGAGCCAGAGGACACCCGGTGAGACCCCCCGGGCACGGCTGCGGTGACCCCCCCGCTGTCCCCACGTGTCCCCCAGTGCCCCCCGGTGCCCCTCTGTGTCCCCATGCCTTGTGCATCACGCCGTGTCCTCGTGCCCCTTTATGTCCCCGTGCCCTTCTGTGTCCCCGTGCCCCCGTGCCCTGCGCATCACCCGGTGTCCCGGTGCGTCCCCGTGCCCGGTGTCCCCGGGTGTCCCCGTGCCCCGGGTGTCCCAGTGCCCTGCATCTCCCCGGTGTCCCCGTGCCCCGTGTGTCCCTGTGCACACACGTGTGTCCCCTTGCACACGTGTGTCCCCACGCCTACTGCATCCCTGTGCACACGTGTCCCCGTGCCCACCCCCGTCCCCGTGCCCACTGTGTCCCCTGTGCCCCCAAAATCTCCCTGTGCGCACCCCCGTCCCCATGCCCCCTGTGTCCCCTGTGCCCCTCGGTGCCCCCCAGCCGTCCCCGCACCCCATCCGTGCCCGTGCCCCACACCCGTGCCCTCTCCCCCCGCCTGCTCACACCCTGCCCCCCCCCCCACTCCGGGCCCCCAGCCGCTGCCGCCCCCCCCCAGCCTGGGCCCCCCAGGGCCCTGCCAGCACCCGGGGCTATTTCGGGCGCGCAGCGGCGGCCGCTCACGTGCCCGGGGGGAGCCAGGCTCGGGGTCACCTTGGGCTGGCGCCCCGTGGCCCCCCCTCGACACCCGGCCCCGCTGCCTTGGCGGGGGCCTCCGGGGCACCCCTGGGTGCTGCCCCCACCCCCCCCAAGCGGGTGCGGTCCCCAATGGTGCTGGGACCCCTCCTGCCCCCCCCTCCCCACCCGGATCCCGGGTGCCTCCGGCACTGCGCCGGTGCAGGAGGGGGGGGGGGGCGAGGCGCGGACCCCCGCCGCCGCCCATTGGCGCAGCCCCTCTGATGTCACTTCCCCGCTGAGCCAAAAGGACATTTTGTCTTTGACTGTAAATGAGCCCCTCCCCCACCCTTCCCTTCCCCTCCCCCACCCCCCAAGCCTCAGCGCGCCCCCCCCCCAACAATCCCACCCACCCACCCAAGCGATGCCGTGCCTCGTATCGGGGGTCCCTGGGGGCTCCGCGGCACCCTGGTGTCCCCCCCCCCTTTCCATGGGGCGGTGCCCCCCCAACCCCCCGGTCCCCACGCGTGGAATCAGCCCCATCCGGCCCCCCCAGGACCCCCGGGTGAGGGACGGGTGCCCAGGCTTGGGGGGGGGGGAAGGGGGGGGCACGGGGACACGGTGCCAGCGCTCCCCGTCCCGTCCCGCAGGTGGCTGGATGGCAAGCGCAAAAGAAAGAGCAGCCAATGTTTGGTGAAGAGCAGCATGTCAGGTACGGGGACCCCCCCCCCCGGGACCCCCCCTACCCCCCCCTTGGCCCTAGGGCACCTCCCCACGTCCCTCCGGCACCCTGCTGGGGTCCCTGAGCCACCCCCGGGGGTCCCTTGGGTGTCCCGTGTCTCTCCTGGAGACCCCAGGGGTCCCCAAGGTGCCGTGTGCCTCCTGGGGGTCCCTGTGCACCCCGGGGGTCCCTGTGCACCCCACACCCCCCAGGGGTCCCCAGCACCTTGCTGGGCACCCCAGGGTGCCCTGGGTGCCGTGTCCTTCCTGGGGACCCCGGGGTCCCCAGCACCCCATATCCCTGCTGGCCACCCCAAGTGTCCCCCGGCCACCCCATATCCCCTCCTGGCACCCCAAGGGTCCCCCAGGCTCCCCATGTCCCCTTGTGGGACCCCAAAGGTCCCCCAGCCACCCCAAAACCCCTCCTGGGACCCCAAGTGTCCCCCAGCCACCTCATATCCCCCCCCCAGGACCGCAGGCATCCCTGTGCCCCCCATGTCCCTGCTGGCACCCCGGGATCCCGGAGCACCCCAAGGCTCCCCAGCACCCCTTGTCCCCATGGGGTGCCCCCCCCGTGTCCCAGCAGCCGTGGCGTGGGTCGGGCCGGCGCTATCGGGGCCAGCAGCACCGTGGTGGGGGGGGTGGGGGGAGATAAGGGGGGCCCGGCCGGGCGCTGACCCCAAGGCTGGGCACCCAGCCCTGCCCCATTCCCCAGCGGGGAGCGGCCGGCGCCGGCGGGATCCGGGAGAGAGGGGAGGGGGGGGTGGGAAGGAGAAGGAGGTGGGGGGGGGGAGGTTGGGGGTCAGCCCCTCCCCCACCCTGCACCGCTCTCCCCTCCCCTTGCCTGTGTTGATGTGGGGGGGTCCCGGAGTGGGGGGGTTGCTCCGTGCCTCAGTTTCCCCGTGAGGCCGGTGATGGGGGGGCACCCGGCCCTGTGGACCCCGGACAATAGCGGGGACAGTGGGCCATTGTGCAGCGGGGGGGACGCCCCCCCCCCCCCACCACAGCCGGCTGGGGAGCCGGATAATGGGAGCTTTATTGCCACGGGGGGCACGGGCAGCCCCCCAGCCCCCCCTCACCCCCCCCAGCCCTTAACCCTTCCTCCGCCAGCACTTCCTGCAACGGGGAGAGGAAAGGGGGGGGGGGTAGCAGGAGGAAACGGAGGGGGGCGAGGGGAAACTGAGGCACGGGGGGGGGGTCCCTGACGCGTGGTGTCCCGCAGGGTACATCCCTAGTTACCTGGACAAAGATGAACAGTGCGTGGTGTGCGGGGACAAAGCCACCGGCTACCACTACCGCTGCATCACCTGCGAGGGCTGCAAGGTGAGGCTTTTGGGTGAGCTGGGGGGGTGTAGGGGGGGGTACCCGAAATTTGGGGAGGGGGGGTCTCACCGTGTCCCCCCCCGCCCCCAGGGTTTTTTCCGGCGGACCATCCAGAAGAACCTGCACCCCACCTACTCGTGCAAGTACGATGGGTGCTGCGTCATCGACAAGATCACCCGCAACCAGTGCCAGCTGTGCCGCTTCAAGAAGTGCATCTCCGTGGGCATGGCCATGGACCGTGAGTGCGGGGGGGGCTGGGGGGGCGTCGAGCACGGCCAGAGGTGCTTGGGGGGGGGGCAAGTTGGGGGCCCGGAGTTAGCCATGGGGTGCACCAAGGTGCCCGGCACAGCTGGCGGTGCCGTGGGGTGCGCGGTGCTGCTGCAGGATCAGGTTGGGGTGCCAGGCATGGGGGGGTAGATTGGGGTGCCCCATGCAGTCGTGGGGTAGTTTGGGGTGCCCCCCATGGCTCCTAGGGCTGTGGGGGGCGTGGGGTGCTTGGTGCAGCCTCAGGACCAGCTTGGGGTGCCCGGCACGCCCCGTGGTGCCAGGGGGCAGATTGGGGTGCCCAGGACCAGGTTGGGGAGTACCCAACGGGTGCCGGGGGGCAGTTCGGGGTGCCTGGCACAGCCATGGGGCAGGTTTGGGACCAGTTTGGGATCAGCTCGGGGTGCCCGCTGCAGCCCTGGGACAATTTGGGGTGCTCGGCACGGCCGGTGGTGCCATGGGGCAGCTCGGGGCACCCAGCAGGGCTTGGGGGGGGGGGGGGGGCACTGGGAGCTCGGTGGGGACGGGTTTTTGGGGCGTCCCCACTGACGGCAGCCCCGGCAGTGGTGCTGGACGACTCGAAGCGGGTAGCGAAGAGGAAGCTGATCGAGGAGAACCGGGAGCGGCGGCGCAAGGAGGAGATGATCAAATCGCTGCAGCACCGCCCCAGCCCCAGCGCCGAGGAGTGGGAGCTGATCCACGTGGTGACGGAGGCGCACCGCAGCACCAACGCCCAGGGCAGCCACTGGAAGCAGAAACGGAAATTCCTGGTGAGGGCACAGCCAGGGGGGGGGGAACCCTGCGCCCACCCCCCGGCACCGGCACCGGGCACCGGGCACGGCACCGGCACCGGGCACGGCTGAGCCCCGGTGTGCTCGGTGCGCTCCCGGCGGGGGTCACGCTCCCGGTGTTGTCCCCTCCCCAAAAACACCCTCGGGAGCGGGGGCTTTGGGATGTCACCGCGTGTCCTTGAGCGCGTGGCCCCCGGGGAGGGTCAGGGGGGGTGCGGTGACCGAAGGGGACAGCTGTGCCCGCGGGGTGGCCCCGGACCCACAGCGGTGCCGGGCACAGAGCTCCCTCTCCTGGCTGCCGCCCCGCCGGGCCCTGCCTCGGTTTCCCCTGGGGGGTGCATGTGGGTAAAACGGGGTGGGGGGGGGTCACGGACACAGTGCCCCCAACCCGCCATCTGTCCCCCCCAACTCCCCCCAGCCTGAGGACATCGGCCAGTCGCCCATGGCCTCCATGCCCGACGGGGACAAAGTCGACCTGGAGGCGTTCAGCGAGTTTACAAAAATCATCACCCCGGCCATCACCCGCGTGGTCGACTTTGCCAAAAAACTGCCCATGTTTTCGGAGGTAAAGGGGAAAAAAAAAGGGCTGCAACTGGGGGGAGGGTTGGGGGCCCCCAAAAAAAAAAAAAACCCCATCCGCTGACGCCGTGTCCCGCAGCTGCCTTGCGAAGACCAGATCATCCTGCTGAAGGGGTGCTGCATGGAGATCATGTCGCTGCGGGCGGCCGTGCGCTACGACCCCGAGAGCGAGACGCTGACGCTGAGCGGGGAGATGGCCGTCAAGCGCGAGCAGCTCAAGAACGGCGGCCTCGGGGTCGTCTCCGATGCCATCTTCGACCTGGGCAAATCCCTCTCTGCCTTCAACCTCGATGACACCGAGGTGGCCCTGCTCCAGGCCGTGCTGCTCATGTCCTCAGGTAAGGGCGCACGGCCCCTGGGGTGCCATGGTGCCCGGAGACACGGAGTTTGGGGGCGCACGGGGTGGGCATCCCAATGCCCACAGCCCTGGCATTTGGGGGTGCACAGAGCAGGCACCCCGCTGCCTGGAGCTCCAATATTTGGGGGTGCACAGGGTGGGCATCCCGATGCCTGGATTTCCAATATTTGGGGGCGCACGGGGCGGGCATCCCAATGCCCGATGCCCTGGTGTTTGGGGGCGCACTTGGAGAGCATCCCAATGCCTGGAGTCCCAGTGTTTGGGGGTGCACAGAGTGGGCACCCCGGTTCCCAGAGCCCCAGCATTTGGGGGTGCAGAGGAAAGCATCCTAATACCCGGTGCCCCAGCATTTGGGGGCGCACGGGGCGGGCATCACAATGCCCGATGCCCTGGTGTTTGGGGGTGCACGAGGCAAGCATCCCGGTGTCTGGAGCTCTGGTATTTGGGGGTGCACAGGGAGGGCATCCCAATGCCTGGAGTCCCATTGTTTGGGGGTGCCCAGAGCCCGAGTTTTTGGGGGCGCATGGGGTGGGCATCCCGATGCCCGGAGCTCTGGTATTTGGGGGTGCATGGGGTGTGTGTCCCAATGCCTGGAGCTCCAGTATTTGGGGGCACATAAGGTGGGCACCCCATTGCCAAGAGCCTCATGGGGCACATGGGGTGGGGGTTCTGAAGCCCAGAGCCCCAGCATTTGGGGGTACATGGGGTGAGCACCTTGCCCAGAGTCCCGGTATTTGTGGGTGTGTGAAGTGGGCACCCCAGTGCACACCAGTGCCCAGAACCCCAGTGTTTTGGGGAGCATGGTGTGGACCCCTTGGGGCCCAGAGCCTCGGGTTTGGGGGATTATGGAGTGAGCACCTTGATACCAAGAGCCCCAATATCTGGGAGCACATAGCTTGAGCACCCCAATGCCCAGAGCCCCAACATTTGGGACACATGGGGGGCACCCCAATACCCAGAGCCCCAATATCTGGGAGCACATAGCTTAGGCACCCCGACACCCTGCTCCTCACCCTTTGGGGTGCATGGGGCAGGTACCCTGACACCCAGAGCCCCAATATCTGTGGGCACATAGCTTGGGCACCCCGACACACAGCTCCCCAGCACTTGGGATGTGTGGGGTGGGCACCCCAATACCCAGAACCCCAATATTTGGGGGCACATGGAGTTAGCACCCCAATGCCCAGCTCCCCACCATTTGGGGTGCATGGGGCAGGTACCCCAATACCCAGAGCCCCAATATCTGGGAGCACATAGTTTGGGCACCCCGACACGCAGCTCCCCAGCATTTGGGGTGCATGGGGTAGGCGCCCCAATGCCCAGAGCCCCAATATTTAGGGGCACATGGGGTTAGCACCCTGATGCCCAGCTCCCCACTATTTGGGGTGCATGGTGCAGGCACCCCAATGCCCAGAGCCCCAATATCTGGAGGCACATAGCTTGGGCACCCCAACACGCAGCTCTCTAGCACTTGGGGTGCATGGGGTGGGCACCCCAATGCCCAGAGCCCCAATATCTGGGGGCACATCAGTTGGGCACCACAACACCCAGCTCCCCACTATTTGGGGTGCATGGTGCAGGCACCCCAATGCCCAGAACCCCAATACCTGGGGGCACATAGGGTGGGCACCCCCAATGCCCAGAGCCCCAATATCTGGGGGCACATCAGTTGGGCACCACAACACCCAGCTCCCCACTATTTGGGGTGCATGGTGCAGGCACCCCAATGCCCAGAACCCCAATACCTGGGGGCACATAGGGTGGGCACCCCAATGCCCAGAGCCCCAATATTTAGGGGCACATGGGGTTAGCACCCTGATGCCCAGCTCCCCACTATTTGGGGTGCATGGTGCAGGCACCCCAATGCCCAGAGCCCCAATATCTGGGGGCACATAAGTTGGGCACTGCAACACCCAGCTCCACAGCATTTGGGGTGCATGGGGTGGGCACCCCAACACCCAGAACCCCAATATCTGGGCGCACATGTTGGGCACTGTAACACCCAGCTCCCCACTATTTGGGGTGCGTGGGGTGGGCACCCCAACACACAGTCCCCCAGCATTTGGGGTGCATGGGGCAGGTACCCCAATGCCCAGAACCCCAATATCTGGGGGCACATAGTTTGGGCACCCCGACACACAGTCCCCCAGCATTTGGGGTGCATAGGGCAGGCACCCCAACACCCAGAACCCCAATATCTGGGAGCACATAGTTTGGGCACCCCGACACACAGTCCCCCAGCATTTGGGGTGCATAGGGCAGGCACCCCAACACCCAGAACCCCAATATCTGCAGCCACATAGCTCGGGGTTACCCCACCACCCATCTCCTTCGTGGCGCGTGATGCGAGCACCCCACAAACTCCCCCCCTCCCCAATTTTCCCCCCCCCTTTGCAGACCGGACGGGGCTGATCTGCGTGGACAAGATCGAGAAGTGCCAGGAGACCTACCTGCTGGCGTTCGAGCACTACATCAACTACCGCAAACACAACATTCCCCACTTCTGGCCCAAGCTGCTGATGAAGGTGACGGATCTGCGCATGATCGGCGCCTGCCACGCCAGCCGCTTCCTGCACATGAAGGTGGAGTGCCCCACCGAGCTCTTCCCCCCCCTCTTCCTCGAGGTTTTCGAGGACCAGGAGGTGTAGGGTGTCCCCCCCCCCCTCGGCTCACCACCACCACCACCATGCCCCCCCCTCTCTCTTTCTGCGCCCCTCTGCGCCCCTCCCCAATTTTTTCTTTTATTTTTTTCTGCCCCCAAAGGTGGGCGAGGGCGGCGGTGCTGCACCCGGGGAGGGGTTCAACAGGGGGGGGGGCACCACACACAGCAGGGCACGTTGGGGGGGGGCTTCGTGCCGCCGCTCGCACCCGGACCCCCAGCAGCCCCCCCCCTAAATCCCCCCCCCATCCCCATACCAGGGCCTTGATGCCAGCCCCCCCCCCCCCCCTTTGCGCCCCCCCCGGACTTGACGAATTTTGTTTGTTTGCACAGGGAAGGGCCCCGACGGTCGAGCGTTTCCTTTATTGTTCTTCTCTTCTTAGATTATTATTTTTTGAAGCATTTATTTCCCTCCCTGAGAGGCTAAAATATTAAACTAACTGCACTTTGGAAGGAGAGGAGGAGGAGGAGGAGGAGGAGGAGGAGGAAGAGCAGAGGAGAGGAGGGGGCTGGGGGGGCTGCCCAGGGAGAAGGCCGCCCCGGCCACGCGCACTTTGGGCCGGGCGGGGGCCAAATTTTTTTTTGGGGGGGGGGGGGGACACCATAAGGGGAGGGGGTGGGGGGCAGCGAGGGGGACCCCAACCCTGCCATGGGGCACGGGGCCGGCGGCAGCCCCCGGCCCCCTCGCCGTGCCCAGCTGGGTGGGGAGGGACCCCCCCCCCACCATGCACCCCCCCACCCCACCCCAAGCCCTTTTTTGGGGCCGGATTCGGGGCTTTTTTTTTTTTTTTTTCTCTGTCCTTTTTTTTATTTTATTTTTTAATTTTTTTGGGCTGAAAGGAGAGGGTTTTGTGCCAAGCGCGGGCGGACGGTGCGCGCTGCGGGCGGGGAGGGGTGGGGGGGGGGGACGGGGGGAAACACCCCCACCACCCCCACCCCCCCCCCAAAAAAAAAACAAACACCCCTTTTCCGTTGTCTCCCCACCCCCCCCCCGACCCCGTGTCGTCGTCCTTTTATTTGTCGTTTTCCGTAAAAAAAAAAAAAAAAGAAAAAAAATCCAAAAACCCAGAAAAAAGGAAAAAAAAAAAGAAAAAAAAAAAAACCCAAGTTGCAATGGCCCCGGAGGTGCCAGTACGGCGCGGCCCCCCCCTCACTGCACTACTGCCCCAGCCCCCCCCCAGCAGCAACAGCACTTCAGGGGGGGGGTGTGGGGGGGGCCCAGCACCCCCAGGGCAGCTCAGGGGGTGCCGGTGGGGGCTCGGCGCGGGGCAGGGCTGCGGGGGGGGGGGGGCACTTTTAATGGTTTTATCACCTTTTTTCCTCCTCCCCCCCCCCCCTTCCCCCCCCCACGGATTTAGGTTTGTGAATTTTTTTCTTACCTCAGGCGGAGGCCGAGGGGGGGGCGCGGGGGCCGGGCGAGGCACGGCCGGCAGGCAGGCGGGCTGCCGGGGGGGGGCCCATTTAAGCTAATATATATATATATATAAATATATATAAAATATATAATTTTTGTAATTAAAAAAAAAAAAAAATCTTTTTACGGGTCGTTTAAAAGCAGAAAATCCCAACACGAGACACTTCCTCCCCCCCTGGGGCTGGGGGGGGGGGCGTGTGGTCCCCCCCCCTTGCCCGCTGCAGCTCCCCCCCCCCCCATCCCTGCTGCCTAGGGAGAGGGGGGGGGGGTCTGGGGGGCAGCGGGGGCCAGTGCCGGACCCCAAAAGCTGTTGGGGGGGGGGCAGAGGGGCAGTGGCGTGGCAGAGCCCCTGGGGGGGGGGGGAACACGCGGTGCCCTCGGTGCAAAATGTCTTAAAGCCCCCACCCGGGTGCCCGGCACGTGGAGAGGGGGGGGGGGGCCCGGTGGGCACAGCCCCCCCCCCCCCCAAAACCCCCAGCACCGGGTTGTGCAATAGGAGTCACTGCAGGAAACACAAACGCCCGCTCTGATGGGGGGGGTCAGGGGGGGGCGCAGGGTTTGGGATGCGTCGTGTGCCCCCCCCTCCAGCCCCCCCCCCGGCACCCGACCCGATGCTCGTGGTCACGCTCGGCACACGCGTGTGCCAACCCCCGGCCTTACCACGTGCCTTCGGGCTGGGGGCGAGGAGCTGCGGCCCCCCCCCGGGGGCACATTGCCCCCCCCCAGCATTGGCCACGCTGCAGCCGTGCCGTGGCGGTGCAATGCCCGTGCAACGGCCGTGCCACGGGGGGCGGCGCGTGTGCAATGCGCGTGCAAGGAGCGTGCCCTGCTGCTGCTGCAGTGCATGTGCCGTGCTGGTGCAACGCGTGTGCAATGCGTGTGCAATGCATGTGCAACATGTGTGCAAGGCGTGTGCAATGCACGTGCCCTGCTGGTGCACTGCCACGCTGCACTGGCACCGTGCACACGCAATGCCCATGCAACGGCCACGCCACGGCGCAACAAGCGTGCAAAACGCTGTGCAACACCCACACCGTGCCCGTGCAACGCCTCGCAGCGGGCACGCTGTGCATGCAGTGTGCGCGTGCAACGCCCTTGCAGCAGCCAGGCCGTGGTGCAATCAATGCACGTGCAACGCTCGTGTTGCACCAGTGCAAGGTTGTGCAGTGCCCGTGCCGTGTTGGTGCAACACCAGTGCAACGTTGTGCGCTGCCCATGCCGTGCTGCTGCAATGCCCGTGCAATGCCCATGCTGGTGCAATGCCCGTGCAATGCCCACGTGCCGTGTTGGTGCAATGCCCGTGCACTGCCCGTGTTGGTGCAATGCCCATGTGCCGTGCCGTGCCGTGGCCGCACGATGCCCGTGGGACCCCACACGCCGCCCGTTCTCGCCGCCTGCTCGCGCCGGTGCCCCCCCTCCCCGCGGTGATTTAGGGGGGGTTGTTGGGGGGGGGGGGGGGCACAACCCGGTCCCGCTGTCCCCACCGTGGGGTCCCCGCGCCCCCCCAGCACCCGCCCGCGCCCCGGGCCGCTCCGTCTCGTCTCCGTCTCGTGTCGCCATCGCACGTCCAGCGTCGCCCCCCCAAGCCCCGGCTTCATCCCGGGGGGAGCTTGGGGGGGGGGGGGGGGCAGCACCGGCACCCCCGTCCCCACCACCCGCTCCGTGCCCCCACGTCCCCAGTCCCCACGCCCCCCCCCCCCCCCCCAAGCACATACCTCATGGCTCCCAGGGCTGCCCCCGGCTTGGCACGGCGCAGCGGGACCCCCACGTACTATGCATTGTGCCCCCCCCCTCCCCTCGCCCTGTTTTTTGGGGGGGGGGGGGGGGCCGTGGCAGGGAGTTGCTGAATGTATGGCGCGGGGAGAGGGAAGGGGGCCGGGGGGGGGGGGGGGTTGATTTTGGGGAGGGGGCCGAGGCAGGCGCTGCTGATTTACGTGACAATCACAGTCTGTGACGTGCGATTTTAAACCCTTTTGTGTTTTGGTCAGGATTTTAAAGAAAGATATTTTTATGGTAATTGTTGCTGGTCTATTTTACTATATATTTATGTAATAAATATATGATGAAAAAAAAACAAACGGAAAAAAAAACAAAAAAAAAAAAAACAAAAAAAAAATACCATCCAAACCCACCCACACAGCTCGGCTGGCCTCCGGCCTCTGCTTGTCCACCGCTGGCCACCGGGGCATTTGGGGGGGTCCTGGGGGGGGCCCCCAGCGCCGTGGGGATGGGGAAATTGGGGGGGGATCCCGGCACCCGCTCGGGGTTCAGCCGTGGGGTGGGTGGCACCGGGGCCGCCCCCGCGCTATGTACAGGGTCCTGGAAAGGTTGGGGGGGTCTGGGGGGCGTGGGGGGCACAGGAAGGGGGCAGGTGGGGGGGCACGGGGAGGGGGGGAGCCCTACTGGGCGTCGATGCGGAAGGAGAGCAGCTTCTCGGAGTGGAGGTTGTTGAGGGTGCGCAGGTCGGGCAGTTTGAGCAGCAGCTTGGTGAAGCGCGAGGTCTCGGCCGGGTGCGTCTTCAGCACCAGGGCGCGCAGGGCGCGGATCAGCGTCTCCTGCAGCTGCTCCACCGACGCCGCGTCCTCCATGCCCGAGCGGTCTGTGGGATCCGGGGGGGGGGAAATGGTGTCAAAACGGGGAGGGGGATGGCAGGAAAAATGGGTTCTTGGCCCCGTCGTGGTGCCCACCTGCCGAAACCAGCACGACGGCGGTGAAGAGCCCCAGCTCCTCGTCGCTCAGGTGGAGGGCGCTGAGCTTCTCGCTGAACTCGAACATGGAGCTGAGCAGGTCGCCCATGCCCATGCCCCACAGCTCCTCCAGGCTGTATTTCGTCCGGCTCATGAAGGTCACCGTCTGCTCCTTCACGTTGAACAGCGAGGCGAAGCGCACCATCAGCACCTGTGGCACAGGGCGGCAGCACCTTGGTGGGATGGGGGTGGCCAGGGGGCACCGTGCGGCACCGGGGCGCACCGAGGGGCATAATGCAATGCCGTGGGGCACCAGTGCAGCACCGTGGGGCACCATATGGCACCGGGGGGCACTGTGCAATGCTGTGGGGCACCATACAGCACCGGGGGCACCATGCAGCACCATGGGGCACCAAACGGCACCGGGGGGCACCGTGCAGCACCGGGGGGACACCATGCAGCACCATGGGGCACCGTGCAATGCTGTGGGGCACCATATGGCATTGGGGGGCACCATGCAGCACCATGGGGCACCATACTGCCACCGTGGGGCACTGTATGGCACCGTGGGGCAGCATGCAGCACCATGGGCACCATACGGCATCGGGGGGCACAATGCAACACCATGGGGCACCGTGCAGTGCTGTGGGGCACCATGCAGCACCGTGGGGCGCTGTATGGCACCGGGGGGCACCGTACAATGTTGTGGGGCACCATGCAGCACAGTGGGACAGAATGCAACACCATGGGGCACTGTGCAATGCTGTGGGGCACTGTGCAAGGCTTTGGGATACCGTGCAAGGCCATGGAGCACCATGCAGCGCCATGCAGTGCCGTGGGAACTCCATGCAACACCATGGGGCGCTGTGCAGTGCCGTGGGGTGCCGTGCAGTGCCGTGGGGAGCTGTGCAACACCACAGAGCACCGTGCAATGCCGTGGGGCACTGCATAGTGCTGTGGGACACCGTGCAACACCACGGAGCATCATGCAACACCGTGGGACACCGTGCAGTGCTGTGGGACTCTGTGCAACACCGTGGGACACCACGCATTGCCATGGAGCACCGTGTAATGCTATGGGGCACTGTGCAGTGCCGTGGGGCACCGTGCAACACCGGGGAGCACCGTGCAATTCTGTGGGGTGTTGTGCAACGTGGTGGGGCACCGTGGCGGGCTGGGGGGCACCACACAACGCCACCAGCCAACCTCGGCAGAGCCCCGGGGTGCCCCGGGACGTACCTCGAAGGTGCCGGCCTTGAGCAGGGTGACCTGGTCGTGCTGGGACAGGGCCTGGAAGCCGGGAATGTGCTTGGCGAACTCGACCACCTCGCGGACGGCGGGGGTGAAGCTGA